CATGGCTATCTTGATGAAGATGTATATATTACCACTGCTAGTTATGATACACTGGACCAGCTCAGGTTTGTCGTTTGAAACGATCTCTATACGATTTGAAACAGGCTTCCAGATGTGGAATAATGAGTTTACTTCCCAGTTGATTACTTATGGTTTTACTCAGTCTACTCATGATACTGTTTGTTTGTTAATCTTTGATTCTTCCTTTATTGCTCTTTAGTTATGTTGACGATGTCATCATTACTAGTTCTTCTGAACTGACATTCTTGCTGTGAAGCAGTTCCTTAATGATCAATTTACCATTAAAGATCTTGGATATGCCAAATATTTCCTTGGTCTTGAGATTGTCGGTCCTCACAAGGTACTCATATATCAAAAAATATGTTATGGATATTATTACAGATGCAGACCTTTCTGGTGCCAAACCTGCTACAACTCCTTTACCTTAAAGGCTTCAAGTTTTGTTCTACTGAGGATACTTTATTTGCTAATCCTGATCAATATCGCAGATTGGTTGGTAGACTTCTTTATCTTGGCTTCACCTGACCTGATCTTGCTTAGGCAGTTCAGTAGTCCAGTTAACATTTTCAATCCCTGCACTCATCTTGGGAAGCTGCTGTTCATGTTCTTCGTTACTGAGGGTTGTCCTTCCAAAGGCTTGTTTTTCCCTGCAAATAGCTCTTTTCGTTTAGAAGCATTTTGTGATGCAGATTGGGCTCTTTGTCCAACTACCAAAAGTCTTTAACTGGTTATTGTGTTTATCTTGGTTCTTCTCTCATCTCTTGGAACCAAGAAACAGACCACTGTCTCTAGATCTTCTGCTGAAGCTGAATATCGTAGCCTTGTCTCTACTGTTTGAATGCAATGGATTTCCTATATTCTTTAGGACTACATGTTCATCTCACCTTCCTATTCCTCTCTGTGTGATATCAGGTTGCCCTCCATATCACTGCCAACCCTGTTTTCCATGAGCGCACCAAGCATCTCAAAATTGATTGTCATTTGGTTCGCAATCAATTTAAGGCTGGTTTTGTTCATCCTCAGCATATTCTTCCAAGCTGCAGGTTGTCCGCATTTTCACCATATCCTAGCTGGTCCTTTGTTTCATCAATTTACTTCCAAGTTGGTTGCTGGATTTCCATCAAGTTCCAACTTGAGGGGGGGATGTACAGAATAAATTATTTATTGTATAGTTGGTTACATTAGTTAGATGCTGAGCTGTAAAGCAATTATTTTTTTAGATTAGTCACGTTTTAGTTAGCTACAGTTCCTGTATATATACAGCAACTTTTACTTTACTCAATAACAGAATATACAACTTTACCAAATACCTTTTACTCTGTAAGCTTGCGTTACTCTGTTCATATATAGTTTGATATGTCTACCAATTCGATGCTGCAATTTTTATTATTATTTTTTTTTTTGGAGCATGGTGTATCATGTTCATTATTCTTAATATTCTTTCTTAGCAGAGGAAACCATTTGCCTTCCCATGAATTAACAATGTCGTTAATACCTACGTTGACATCACTAAGCTCAATATTAATCTTCCAGTTAAGGGTGTGTTATTGCAACTAATTATAATTTGTTCAAATCACATAAATTGTAATTTTTTTTAATAAAAAGTTAACTATTTGGTACGAGTAACGTGTTAAAATTATAATTAAAAAAAAAAAAAAAAATGGGGATAAGTGTTGATTTTAGTGGGAGGAGCCAAACCCGGGACCGGCCTAGTCCTGTTTGACAGTTGAATAACGAATGACACATGCCACGTTTACTGCACCGAACTCAACTGGCTCCGTATCTTTGTCATGTTTTATTCCCCTGTCTGGTTTCCTTCTTTCTTTATTTCTTTACACAAAACCAGTTTCACCTTTATTCAAAAATTTATTACATGCTGCATTATTTCACTTCTCTTTTGGTTAGTTTTTTTTTTTTTTTTTTTTCTTTTTCTTTCTTTCTTCTGTTCTTTGTTTCTTTGTTGATATTGAATATTTGAAGCAGTGGCACAGTTTATTATTTGATTTCATAATCATGGCAGGCTCTAAACTGAAGAATACAGGTTAAAGAAAGGATGTCTTCCCCGTGTAAAAGAAGAGAGATGGATGTCATGAAGCTGTAAGCATTTCCTTACTTTTTTTTTTTTTTGGCTGAGATTTTCTTTGCAATTTCTTCTTGCTTTTTCATATTTTAAGTTAATGTTGTGGATATTGATCTTACTAATGGTGTTTCCACTCTCTTTATCTTCAAATATTTGAAACAGGATGATGAGTGACTATTCGGTGGAGCTAATTAACGACGGGATTAATGAACTCAAAGTGCTATTCCTTGGTCCCAAAGAAAGTAAAATTTTCTGCCCAGTTCATTCAATTTTGAAAGAAATTGAAATTTATTGTTAGGAGATCCAATTATGTGATTAAAAAGGCTTTAGTTGGGTTGTTTTTTGTTGATTCTACCGCAATGGATGCAGGCCTTTACGAAGGCGGTGTCTGGAAAATCCGAGTGGAGTTGCCGGATGCTTATCCTTACAAGTCTCCTTCCATTGGATTTATTAACAAAATATTCCACCCCAATGTTGATGAACTGTAAGTTCTCTTACATTGTAGAGAAAAAAGCTGTGTATTCTCTTTTGAATTTTGTCTCAAACTACTTGTAATATATGCTAACAAGTTTCTTCTATGCGATTTGAAGGTCTGGTTCTGTGTGCTTGGATGTAATCAACCAAACATGGAGCCCAATGTTTGGTAATTTCAGGACTTTTTTTGAATGATTATTTGACTTCATTTTTTTTGTAATTTGTACATACCAACAAAGATGCACACAATAAACCAAGACACCATAACATCAATCATACAGTTTGGAAATTCCAACAGAAGTTTTGTTCTTTCCTAGTGAAATCCATATTGCTAAGAAAAGTCTGAACACTACTGGTTAACGGGCTGGGGCGGCTTTATTAGGTTTTGGTGAAATGCAAAATGGTTCAAGGTTCTTCATTGAATATTAATTCGTCTTGTTGAGCAAATGTGGGAGAAACTAGCAGATGCAACTGATCTCAAACAACACAATGAAACATGACAGACTTTATGTAGTGCAGTGACATTTTACTCTCTTTGAAAGGGACCTGAGTTAGGAGCATGTCAATGATTGTTTTTTAACCACCATTGAAGATATATATAGTTAACATGGGGTAATCAGAAAACTGAATGATTGAATGTTAGATCCTGGTTCTGCGAACATGTAGATCTCTTCACTCGGCAAGGACAGATTCAGGTCTTATATACTCAGTGAAAGGAGTTAGGGGGATTATAAAGATAGGGATGCTTCATTACTGATAGTATTGACATTACATTAAGGTTTCAAGTTTGCATTTTGATTTGCCTTTCACTTGGGAGTTCAGTTTTCAGGTATCTTACCACAGATTCTCTGTGTTGCAGATCTTTTGAATATTTTTGAGGTTTTCCTTCCACAGCTCTTACTCTATCCTAATCCTTCCGACCCCTTGAATGGTGACGCAGCTTCCTTGATGATGAAGGATCAGAAACAGTATGAACACAGAGTGAAAGGTGAGATCTCTTCATTTCTTACTATGTTGCTATTTGGTTGTCAGTGACTACGAACAACAGTTGGGCTCTTCAATATTATTTATTTAGCTGGCTACTACATTAGTTATCTAATCTTCAGTTCAGTTTATAGGAAAATTTGATGAATATTACTGGTCTGGCATAATATGTTATGTTAATCATCCGTATGCTGGTATATTGAGAAAATTTTCTAGAATTATATCCAATTGGACTGAAAATATTCTGTCAATTCATTATGATTACAGAGTACTGTGAGCGCTATGCTAAGAAGGAGAATGTGGCAGGTCCAACCTTAGAAGATAGCGATGACGATATCAGCAGCAATGACATCAGTGATGGGCAAAGCACATTAAGTGATGACAACATTGCTGGAGAAGCAGATCCATGAGAAGATATTTAACTTTCCACTGTAATTTAAACAATCCTGAAATGTTTATGCCTTCACTTTCTTGTAAAAATCATGAAGTGTATTGATAACTTTAATGAAATAGAATGGATCTTTGTGCTAATTTGTTTCCTCTTTCAGATCAAGTTAGGTAGAAAACTAAATGAGTTGTTTTAACTTAGATATGTGAACCAACAATCAAAAAAGATTGTTCTTCAGAAGACATTGATATAATATAAGGCCTGGATATCGCGCTCATGATTTCTACTTAGACCTGTGAATATAAACAAAGAATAACTTTTTATAAACTAATAATGCAACAAAGAATTAGTTCATTAGGATCTTTTCCTGGAATAAGATGCATATCGGAACACAAGAAAGGGAATCTATCAGGGAATGTAACAGACGAATATAATCATCATTAAGAATAGTTTTAGCTCATGTTGTCGCATGCTTCGAATTTCATGAACCGAATCCTCCTTCAAACCAACTGTGAAATCACTTTCATGAGCTTTCAGAATCATGAGAAAAACTATAAAATTCTGGTTGTCTATTGCTGAGACAGTTACACATTGGCAATAATGTAGATTTGTTCAGTTGTAGAGATCCCACGTAGCCAGTTGATTCCAGGAGAATTTCCGAAGTAGTCAACTTCATCAGGAGCCTGATATGAAATGTATAGAAGCCAGGATTCATAAAAATAAAATGTCATAGGGCCCATTATTTCTTCTCATCATTGATAATGACATGACAAATACAATTTCAGCTGACTGTAGCTGCCGGCGCCCAAAGTAAATATAGTTTCTAGACAAATGCCCTTATTAACTCTTTAGCGGCAATAAAATCCACAAGAATACAAAGTTTTATTGTAGAATCAGCTAACAAGCCAATTGGCATCCTTTCTAATTACAACAATAACTAGAACATAGAGATTTCCTCCATACACAACAATATCAATCCCTTATTTAAAATTATATATGTTTTTGACAAAGCTATACTGCAGACCTTTCTGCATCAAAGCCTAGATCCCAAATATGGATCAAACCCGCATCTGGGTTATCTTTCTTTCATTCTTTCTCATTCTTCAGACAACAAATTCCTTGGATGCAGGAGTTAAGAGTTCATTGATCAACTTCCTTTCAAAACTGTCAAACAACAATGGCCTACTTGATCCTGTATGGAACACCACCACTGATCCTTGCAGTGACCGGTGGACAGGTGTAACTTGCGATAATCGGCACAATAAATCAGTGAGTAGATTAAACCTTACCAGGTTCAATCTTTATGGATCATTTGATGCTAGTTATCTTTGCAATGTACAATCTTTAGCTGATTCTCTCAGTGTTATTATTCTTGATGGCAACAATATTCATGGAGAGATCTCAGCTGATATTTCAAATTGTACTCAGCTCCTTCGCTTGCATTTGAGTGGGAACCGTTTTTCAGGAAACCTTCCAGGCTCTGTTTCCATGTTGAGCAACCTGAAAAGACTAGATGTTTCATACAATAACTTCTCCGGTGCTTTGCCAGACTTGTCCCGGATTTCTGGTCTTAATATGTTCCTGGCTCAATACAACCAGTTCACAGATAAGATACCACAATTTGACTTCTCCAATCTGCAGCAGTTCAATGTATCTTACAATGATTTGAGTGGTCCTATTCCAGACACACAAGGAAAATTCGACTTAAGCAGCTTCTTCGGTAATCCCAGGTTATGTGGAGACCCTCTGCCAAATATATGTCCACTGACTCCGCTCTCTCCAAACTCTGAGGTTAAGAAATCGAAACATGTTCCGAAAAATCAGATTCTTATGTTCTCCGGATATGCTGTGTTAGGCTTGGTAGTTATAGTCTTCATCATCTTTTGGATATGTAAAAGAAGAAAGTCAGAAGAGAAAGTTGAAGCAGTAAACAAGGTAGCATCATCAGCTGATGATAGCACTATCAACAAGTCTAAAGCACTTGAATCAAGTGATTATAAAACAGGAGAGAGCAAAACAGAATTTTCTATGAATTCAGCGGAAAGCGGTTTGCCTTCATCCTCACTAGTAGTCCTTACAAGTCCGGTAGTGAATGGACTGAAATTCGGGGAGTTGCTGAGGGCTCCTGCAGAGTTGCTTGGAAGAGGAAAGAATGGTACCCTCTACAAGATTGTTATGGAAACTGGTATGAACCTGGTTGTGAAAAGGATTAAGGATTGGGCAATTTCAAGCAATGATTTTAAGGTCCTGATGCAGAGATTAGACCAAGCCAAACATCCAAATATATTGCCAGCTCTAGCCTTTTACTGTTCTAAACAAGAGAAACTATTGGTCTATGAATTCCAGGAAAATGCAAGTCTCTTCAGGCTCCTCCATGGTATGTTGAACACTTACTTCTCCTAAAGTGTTTATATGTATCAAATCACTGTGTTTTTGTTTCTAAAATATAGTACTTTTTCAGGAGCCGAAATGGGGCAAGTATTTGACTGGGCAAGCCGGCTAGATATTGCAGCCAAAATTGCTGAGGCATTATCATTCATGCATCAGGAGCTAAGTGAAGATGGAATTGCTCATGGCAACTTGAAATCGTCCAACATCTTGTTCAACAAGAACATGGAGCCTTGCATAAGTGAATACGGACTCATGGTGTTTGACAATCCAGACTCCTCTTCATTCGCCAACGGCTTCAAACGCCCTGCCATCACTGCATCATCAAACGCCTACAAAGCAGACATTTACGGTCTTGGCGTCATCCTTCTGGAGCTTCTAACTGGACGCCTGGTGCAGAACGATGGAGTGGACTTGACCACATGGGTTCACTCAGTCGTCCGAGAAGAATGGACTGTAGAAGTTTTCGACAAAGTCTTAATTTCTGAAGGCGCAAGTGAAGAGACGATGGTAAATTTGCTGCAAGTCGCCATAAAATGTGTCAACCGTTCCCCGGATGCCAGGCCTACCATTAGCCAAGTTGCTGCCATGATCAACACCATTAAAGAAGAAGAGGAGAGATCTATAGTTTCTGAAGCATGACAAAGTTTGGATTGAAATTATTAAACATTATAAGAAGACATTCAGTACAGGAACAAATTATCTTTCAGTCTATATCCAAGTTTTAATGCATTTATTTAAAGACAAAGTAGCTTATTTCTTCCTTAGTTACATCCTATTTATGTAATATTTCAATAACCGATAATCAAGCAAGCATATGGAGCTACTCAAAGTATGCTTCATTCTTTTAGTTATCTGGGCTCGTCTCAATCGAAATTTAACTGATATTCAAAGATTGGACCAAAACTTTATTATTTATCTGTCCATTTTGATAGGTGATAACAAGATTGAATAAATGGGTATTTAGATTTGGGAATTGGGTAACCAGTTGGCAGAAGAAGTGGTAGATCAGTTGTGAACTAATGAATATGAAGGCAGATCAGTTTGCTCTGTTTCGAAAGCTTTGTTTGGGGCCGGGAAGCAGTTGAGGTGCGCACAAAATGGCCTGTACACTTCTAGCTAAGAAAAAGGAAAAAAGATGAAGGCAGATTAATGGAGGTTTATAGATAGGCCCTTGAAGAATCATATTAGTTTTAATTTAGGGTTAAAACTTCTAGATTAAAGATTACTTGATATTCAGTGGAATTTAGTGAAGAAGTCAACTGATTCTGCGTGATGCAGATGCAATCAAATCTGCAACCCAGCTGGAACTCGGCGTTCAATCAAATGGTTGTTACTTGTAGTGGTTAACAATTATATAATTAATTTTTGTCTCTTCTGTTTATATATTCTTATAGTAACACAAATCGAATATATTTACTTCGAAATAAATTTAAAAGAAGAAGAATATACATTACAATTTTCATGTCAAAACATTTCAAATGATTGAAATATGGTTTTGATGCATATTATGAATATGATGATTCTTCAGGTTAATATCAACTTGATGCAAAGACTTGGTAAAAAATTGATTATGATATGAAAAATACAATTTTGATGCATGGTCATTTTCATTTATACTTAAAATCAAATTACTTCATGAAAAATATTAATTTCTAAAATGAATAACATATTTTTTGTGTACATAATAATAATTAAAAAAAAAAAAGTAGTTCATATTATTATTTACCTCAAACAATACACAAATTTAGACTTTCAAGATATCACATATTTACATTCAAGATAAGATCTCTCAAATAGGATACAAAAGGCTATTTATATCTAAACCTCCAAAGGGAAATTAAAAAAAATATATATATATTTAATTTCATAATCTATTCCCTAAATCTCTCACAATATTCTTAAGGATGAGGAAGCCTTTCTTTGAATTTACTCTTGATTGTGCTTATGCTTTAATTTTATGAAAGCAAGATGTTAATGGAGCATTTAGAAAGAGGTGACATTGCCATTAACTTTTGAAAAGAAAAGTTTCCACAACTTAATTATAATTCAGCTTTGTGTTTCCACTTACAATTACAATCAATGAAAGTGAGACTAATTCCAATACCACTTTCCAACGTCCCACCGAAATAATCAAATCTCCATCTACATTCAATTGCATTAATTGTTCAAAATTATAATCTAAACCCATATCCCCATTTACCAAACAGTCTTTGCCTTCTTGATGATCTCACTTTAATGTAACCCATCAGAACAAGTAAAATGTGAAAATTAAGTAATGCTAACCGCTCAAAATTGATATGACATTACAAGTATGATAACTCAATCTCAACCATCAAATACATTTTTGACATTAATAAAACCACATCATTAAAATATTTGACTTACATTTCAATTGTCCTTAACAAAAGCCTCAAATATCTATTAAAACGCTTGCACTACATAAAATCTCAACAAATTTGACATAAGAAATTGTTTCCTCACTTCACTAAAAGCCCATTTTTTGTTAAATCATCATAGCATTAAGATGTGTAATTTTTTACCAATCTTTGGGTGATTGAGTAATCTCGAGGATTATCCGATCATTAATTTCAAAGCCTCGAGACCTTGGTGGATTAGTTACCAAAAAATGTATTATATTTTACTCACATGGATCATATTTCTATACTATAAATTAAGTAATAATATTTCATTAAAATAAAATAAATACTCATTCTAATCTAATAATCCAATCAAGTATAACTTTTTCTTTTCACAAATCATATTTCTGCTGATATTATTGAACCTTTGACATATGAAATCCCTAATTAATTATAATAATAATAATCTCCTCAAAACTAGAGTTAGGCCCAAGGCCCACCTAAAAGCCCACAAATGACTTGTCGCTTATCGTTGACCAACTGAAATCCACGCGCTTAGACAGCACGTGGGACGAGTTCCCAGCTGGTCTTCTTTTTGGCATCCTTTACCTCGCACTTCGGAAACTACTATCACTGCCACTATTCTGGCTTTTCTTCTTAGTTTTATCACAACCAAAGAGGGTGACTTTTAAAGTATCAAAGAGAGAGACACATTATTAAATTAATTAATAAACAAATTAATTAATTAACTCTTATTATAATTTATATATATATATATATATATATATATATATATATATATATACATGCGAGTGAACAGAAGAAAAGACCTTGTGTGTTCTCTAGTTGCAAGGGGGAAGAGTGACCACCATTGTATTTCATTTCAAGATGATTTTGAAAGGAGAAAATAAGAAAGTGAAGTTCTTTGAAGAAGAATCAAGTTAGGTAAGTTTCAATCTTGTTGTTTGCGTGTGTGTGTCAGCTTCTCTTGTTTTATAATTATTATATTTAGTATGGTTCATCATCTCAGCATCAATCAGTGAGACCAAGAGGGGTTTTGTTTGTTGTTTCATTTCAAATCATACAAAAGAGTTTCAAAAAAAAAAAATGATAAATTATTAACACCGAACAACAACAACCTGCTACAGTCTTTTAGTGCTAGTATTTTGTCTTGAATCTGATGAAGAACAACAAAAAGTAGAGACCTGGGTTAAGAAAGGGAGAATATGGTTTTTGGTTGTTCTTTTATGATCTGTGGAATGTTAGAAAACAAAGAGAATAGGTTGTTTTTTGGCCATAGTCACTTGAAGATGTCTTGGATTCATCAGCAAATGAAGCAACAAGATGGTCTTTTGCCATACCCACCTCCACTCTCTCCTTCATATTCATCTGCATCTCCATATACAACTGCTACTGGAAGTTCTTTTCATAAAGAGTCATCAAGTCCTTCATATTCATCTGGTACAAGAATAAGTCCTGCTGTTCTTTTTATTATAGTCATTTTGGCTGTACTATTTTTCATATCTGGTCTTCTCCATTTGCTTGTTCGATTCCTCATAAAGCACCCTTCTTCTTCAGCTTCTAATCAATCTAATAGTAGATACCCTGAAATTTCTGGTTCTGATGCTCTTCAGAGGCAGCTACAACAGCTTTTCCATCTTCATGATTCTGGTTTGGATCAGGCTTTTATAGATGCACTTCCTGTTTTCTTGTACAAAGAGATTGTTGGTCTAAAAGAGCCATTTGATTGTGCTGTCTGTTTATGTGAATTTTCCGAGAAGGATAAGCTGAGATTACTTCCTATGTGTAGCCATGCTTTCCATATTAATTGTATAGACACTTGGCTACTTTCGAACTCGACATGTCCTCTTTGTAGAGGAACCCTTTTCACTGCAGGGTTTTCTATTGAGAACCCAATTTTTGATTTTGATGATTTGAGGGAAGAAGATGGGGTTCCTGGTTGTGGAGAACATGGATTCACTTCTAGACAAAAAACTGTGGAAATTGAAGAAGTTGTTGTTGATAAGGGTGTTGTACCTGTGAGACTTGGTAAATTTAGAAGACTAAATGGTGGTGAAGGGGAGGCAGGAGGTGAAACTAGTAGTAGCAGTTTAGATGCAAGAAGATGTTTCTCAATGGGTTCATATCAGTATGTGCTTGGTGAATCAGACCTGAGGGTTCCATTGTGCATTGATCAGCGTGGATGCGATTTAAAGCTTGGTAGAGATACAAAAGACAATGGGAATTCTTCAGTTGATGAGGATGTGGAGGCGAAAAAGATCAGTAACATGGCTAAAGGTGAGAGTTTTTCTGTTTCCAAGATCTGGCTTTGGCCTAAGAAGGGAAAATTTTCAAGTTCGACAGATGCCGAAATGGGCATGCCTTCGTCTCTTAAAATGGATTTGCCATGGATGGAGAGAACAGAAGAAAAGTGAAGGTATACTTTTCTTTGCTTGTTTCAGTCTATCGATCAAAGTACCATTGTCATGCCTTTGTTTAGCTTTTCTTTCTGAAAATTTTTGGGGTGCTAATTAAAATATTCAAAGTGCTGGTTATGGAATACTGAAACCTAAGCATCAATTCCTCTTTTAAAGATAGGTTTTACCATAGAATGACAAAATAGAATTCATGTAGGTGACCAAGTAGTTGACAGATGTTGAGGCTGTGGTGTTATTGTTATTCATGTTGCGCGGATGATTTCATGATGTATTTTCCTATATATAAAAAAAAAGAAGATATTCATATGATTTATTTATGTTCTTCTCCTCATTTAGCAATTGTTGTTGCCAAATTTCTTGTATAATGGTTTTATCAGAGAGATCTCAACCTTTTGCTTGTTTGAGTTGGTTGGATTGACAATTAAAAAAGTCCTCAGTGGACACGATATATTTTTAAACACAAGTCCACTAGTGAACTGTGCTTATATCATTGCATTCCAATTTCCAAATTCTTATATGAATTCACTTCACCTTGTTCATACAATTCATTGAAGACCTCAAAACATGCTGATTTTGAACCACAATGTTGAGTCTGAAAGTATATATACCAATATGCTTATATTATGTTGATGATCATGATCAAAGGCAGGAGGCCAAGTGCTTTTGCTTTTGAAAGCATGGCATTGTGTTTTTATTCTGCTTTAGCTTTTCCACTTTTCATATGTAAAAACCCAATTTGGGATAAGGTGCTGGTGCCTGCACATAAGCTTTTGTGTAATTGATCTTTAGGGTAGGGGTGGGCGGTTGAGGAATTGATGGTGGGATCCATGAAAGCAATGTGATAGAATATTTCAAACTTTTTGATTACAACTTTAATTTAAAATGTCTTTGCTGTATGGTATGTATCATCAGCGATATGTGGGTCATTTTAGTTTGGTCTTCCCATGTGACCAGACCATGTTGAAACTAACCCCTTTTATTAAATTAATCCATTAAAAAATTTAGGTCATAACTTGGTCAAAAGGAAGAGCAGATGATTTGAGAAGCAGGAAGTTTGTGTCTACATTCATAATATTGTCATTTTAATATAGACACATAAAGGGCAATTGGGAGATCATGGATATGTCTTGTGTAATACACAACTCACAACTGAACTGATTTGAGATGGGGAGCTATTTTTGTCCCTTCTACACTTCTCTTCTCACGCTACTTACTTAAGCGCGTGTCTTAACATAAGAAAGTAGGCCTTGCCCAGGCCATTTATTACTTGATTAGTGATCTCTTAAATTGGATTATGAGGAAATTTCCTTTCAATCTTGTATATAAATGTTTCTAACTAACATCTTAATTAGAATGATAAACAGGATTTGGTGGGTGTACTTTATCTTAATTAATGGAATAACAGCCATATCTTATTGTCAAAGAAAAAAATAATTAACAACCATTTCCCCTTTAAAGTAAAGACGAACCTTTTATGTGTCTATATATAATTTTGCCACACAATTTCCCTTTAATAACATTAAATCAATCACAATATTGTCATTTTATAGAAATATATATTAATTGATTTCCTTATAATAAAGTTATATATGATACTCTTACTAATAATAGTTGCAAGAATTTTAGTAATTAATTAAATTTGTTATAATTAATAAAAATCCATCAAATCAACCCCGAGATATATAAAGCTACTATATTTCTTTTCTAATATAAAAATAATGTTACATATTTCTATCAGTACGTTGAATTATTATAAGTTTTAGTTGAATTTATTTATAAAGAAAGGGATTTTTGAATTTGATTGATGTTATATTTTGAAAACAAGAATAATTATTAGGCGTATATTTTAGTATTTGTTCACATGCATGCATGAGCCTTGAGACAGGTTTACGTGTGCTTTAGCTTTACTTAACGAAGAGAGAATTCAATTATTTAACGAAGACAGAAAATTGAGATCGATATATTTATTTATTTTCTGAGATTAAACAAATTGAAATTATTCCCTTTTCTTTGCTGGCTCCCCTAAATTCCAAAGCCAAGATCTCAATTTCTCTCAACCTCTTCTCGTTGGTGTTGATTGGATGCCAACTCATGAGTGAAATAATTAGTAGCCAACTCAAAATATTATTAATTACCTTAATACCCTTTTTTCACCACCATTAATTATTATGGCACGGCATCAATTCATTAGTATATTTTTCTTATTTTAATTCATTTGTTTAACAATGTTATAATTACAACATATAAATATAAGTTAAATACTGTAGTGGTTTTTCCAATAAACATTTGAACAAAATAGACACAATCTTACAAATCATAACGTAAGATATTCACTATATATATATATATATAAAATGATATTTTTGGTACATAAAAAATTCTTTAATGGGCAACAAACCTCCCTCTTTCTCTCTCCTTTCCTCTACACTTTTCTTTTTTTACTCACAAAAATATTAAGTTACATTATTAATCAAATTAAATTTTTTTATCACCCATAAAAATGTAATTTAACCTTAACGTGCTCCGGCCCCCACCACTTTGACCACCCAAAGGAAAAATAAATAAACCACACAAACAAGTCAACCATTTTCTCAACCATATCCATAATCACCGTACCCAAACCACTACTTCGCCACCCGGGCGCACATTGGCCTGATGGTACACTTTAACCAAAGATAAAAATTCACAACAAGCTCTTCCCTTCTGGAACTACGTTCACGTGAAAGTCACGTGAATCTTGACCTCCCTCCATGCCTGTGGAGGCCTTGATGGAGGCAGGCACGGCGGCGTACCTAGATGAGAAATCCCGGGCGATATAATCTCCATCCATCTGTTGACACATTTTCCCAGGACCGTCGTCGAAATTCAAAGCGTAACTCAAAGGATCGTATTGGAATTTCCATTGCTTGGCCGGACTGTTGCGGTTCTTCCGAAACGTACGGATGAAAGTCTTCCATCTCGGACCGGCCGCGAGCTCGGACCATTCTCGAAGCCGCTTCCAACCACGAAGATACAAAGGGTCTTGCGACGGTGTTTTATTTTCACCGGTGCTAATCCGCTCCCACCAGATTGAGCCGCCGTTGGAGGCGCGTTTGGAACCGAAACATGGGATCCAGAAACAACAGCCACTTCTGGAGAATGCGGTTTGGTGGAGATCGTCGTCGTCGTCGTCGAGGGGGTTTTCGGAGATGTCATGAGACGGGGAGGGCATTTTGGGAAAGGAGAAAAGCCCCCCGGAAAGCAGTCGCAATAGAACTCTCTCCAGAGGGAGAGAGAGTTCTATGCGTTTTGATTTGGATGTGAAGTGAAACAAGGAAGAAGAAAATGAAGGGGCTTTGGAACGGAAAATTCGGGGGATTAAGTAGTTAACGTTAACGGGGAATTGCCGGTTGCCGGTTGTGGTCGTGAAGCCACGTTCGTCACTCTTTTAACTCTCAAGTCTTCAATGGATTTGTACCAGCTCACCTCTTTGCTGTTATGACTTTCTTATAAATGTGGCATTTTTACCAACTTTTTTTTTATATCAACATATAACTCATATCAAATTCAATTATTTCTTTTATATATGTCATATGTAAATATTGACATCATAATTACACCTTCTCGTGATGAAATTATGTTTTATAAATACTTTTTATTTGATGCGGGCACTTTATGCAGCCGGTAACCGGTTAATTCTCCGCATTTGTCGCTGTAACTTGTTACTGTTTAACCGTCAAAAAACTGAAAGTACAATTTTAGAAGGAGATTAATTTTTTTATTAATCTGATGTTAAATTATAAGTTAGGATATATATATTTGTTTGTGTACGTGTAGCGAAATCAAATATTTCCAATAAAAAATTGTTAGAGAATCTAATAGTCGGTGGACAGTGATGTGATAATAAATAAATGGATTAATATAATTTATAGATTATTTAGTAATGAGTTATTGTTAAAATGGGCTGGCAGATGGCAGTTACAAAATTCTGGTTGAGCCTTGGTCTTAGGGTACTTTTTGTTGTTGGGAGTATTTATAATTATAATCCCTATAATATAATTATGATCCTTGCAGGATCCAAGACTAGTTTTGACTCAAAATTTTATCTTTATCATTTTTTNATGAAATTATGTTTTATAAATACTTTTTATTTGATGCGGGCACTTTATGCAGCCGGTAACCGGTTAATTCTCCGCATTTGTCGCTGTAACTTGTTACTGTTTAACCGTCAAAAAACTGAAAGTACAATTTTAAAAGGAGATTAATTTTTTTATTAATCTGATGTTAAATTATAAGTTAGGATATATATATTTGTTTGTGTACGTGTAGCGAAATCAAATATTTCCAATAAAAAATTGTTAGAGAATCTAATAGTCGGTGGACAGTGATGTGATAATAAATAAATGGATTAATATAATTTATAGATTATTTAGTAATGAGTTATTGTTAAAATGGGCTGGCAGATGGCAGTTACAAAATTCTGGTTGAGCCTTGGTCTTAGGGTACTTTTTGTTGTTGGGAGTATTTATAATTATAATCCCTATAATATAATTATGATCCTTGCAGGATCCAAGACTAGTTTTGACTCAAAATTTTATCTTTATCATTTTTTTTATAAAAAAAATTATCTTAACTATTTAATTTAATAGTTAAAACGAATCTAATGATAATCACAGGATAAAATATTATGTCCTGTAATTATCTGATTTTTATTTTGTTGTTTAATAAAATTTTGTCTCTTATCCCTATAACCTTTTCCAACACTGTCAGTAGGTCAAATTCATTACTCGACAATTGGTTTCTTGTATATTATTTGATGCAAGATATATAATACATGTAAGGGCCATGATATGTATGATTACAACTAATGATTCTGTCTTATCTAAAGATTTAAGATAAAATATTCTGAAAAATGTAAAATCAGTAGATTCCTTAATTATTATGTCAAGAAGAGTAATTAGTATATTTTATTTAAAAAAAATGTGTTCCATAAAGGCCCATACAATACCCAGCAACCTCTTCATCAATCCAATTCAGGTACCTTATTCTTTACCTTGAGTTTATTCAAATGTCAGTTCAACAATATGGAGGATACTCCAACCCTTGATTCCTTTTTGGTTTTTTCTTCCCTTCTTTGAAGATGCTACGTGTTATATATTAACATCTCTTTAAAATTCAGTAGAAATACAAGCACATTGGCTTAAGCTTCTTGCTGCATCTTTCATTTGTTCCTTTTCTCCAAGCCATAGCTGTACAATTAGATTCCCAGTCTAAATTCCTCTTTGAAATCTCAAGGAGAAGCCACATTGATTCGCTCAAAAGTTAGCGTTGCCTACATTCTCTTGATTTCTACTAAAGTAAAAAAGAAAATACAATATTATACATAAGCATATGCAAACTTAAAGAGTCAAGATACATCCATCCATCCTATTCCTATTACAACTAGCATAACATTCCTTCTGAATGAGAAGCGGCCAAGCTTCCCATCTTCATCTGGTAGCAGAAACATCAAGTTAAACATCTTCTTGTGCTGTCTACTTCATAAAATATGTAGTAATACACTATGAATAGCCCCTGTAATTCAGTCGTGGTCGGATATTATGGTGGCTATACGTAGGATCACCATAGTCAACAGACTTTATCACCACAGCTTCACGCCGTCCATCCTGTTCTTGAACTGCCCCAAAAACTATCTCATTTGTCTCACAGCTTTTCTGATAGTAAGTCTGTGGATTAGGTGAGAAATGCTGGTGATTCTGTATCTGTTGTTGTTGCTGGTGATGCTGATAATCGCTATCCCACCCATTAAAGTAAGCTCGCGATTGCTTAGTATAATGTTTTTTCTCCAGGTCTTTAGTCATATATGGATAGTTCTTCTTTAGTGTAGGGCTTCTTGTTTCTATAGAAGGCGGTTCATCTTCATCTGGAATGACGAAGCTTTCTTGCATGGGCCATCCATTTGAAGGTATATGCCGTTGCTGGTATTGATGCTGGAACTGATAGTGGGTGGTGGGCTTTCTCCTTAAGCCTGAAAATAATCCCCCAAACATTTCAGCTACTGATGACCCAGTGTTGAGGATAAGTCTCCCAATTGAACCAAAAAAACCATCGTCTGATTTGTCAATATCATTTTCAGTAGGAATTAAGGGTGACCTGGCAGATTTAGAAGGCCTTTGATAGGGTGCCACTGGTGGACCTCTTTTTAATGAGTTTCTTGAATCCTACGAAGCAAAAAGTCAGATTTGAAACTTTCCTAGACAATATCATGCAGAAATTTGGGAAGGGACGATCGATTCAAGGAGTTTCTATCATAATGAAAGATTTATTACTGTTTGCTTGCAGGAGTGGTTTTGTCTCAGCACTTAGTTTATAAGAATCATATTATGCAACAATCAGTAAAGGGAAATAACGAAGATGGGAGAAAGCTTACATTTTGCGAAGAAAACATAGCTTGCACCCTCCGCTGCAGCAATGCTAGCATGTAACCGAAGAATGCAGCTGCAACAAGCATAAATATTCCTGCAATGTTCAATGAAATAAACTATAGATCATAGAGGTTTCGAAACAAGAATGATAAGAATGAAAATCGAACAGATATACCTAAATTGTAACTACCATCATAATGATAGGAACAATCATCATAATGGAGTTGTATCTCTCGAATTGCCTGGTTTCCTCTGTCTATAACTAACAGAGAGCATGTACTTCCAACGTAAACCAAATCAAACTCATCTGAAAATTTTGCATCTTCACTAGGACCATCCACATGACCTCCTCCACGGCTCCATTTTCCTCCTGCAATAGTTGTGACCCCTGCACAAATAAATTGAGTTGACGAGTTACTGAAAGAATAATTGATATCGTAGAGACAAGAACTATAGGACAAAAGAAATTTAAAAGAAAGATAATTCAAACTTTAGCCAGGGGAATGCATCAAATATACAAAAATTTACCTGTATCACTAATCTTCCTGATAGCCATATTCATTGTATCTGCAATGTATATATTTCCTCTGTCATCAACAGTAAGCCCTTTCGGGTGGTTCATTCTTGCCTCTCTTGGTTTCCCATCCACATGCCCGTAGTACCCTTCAGGTGACCCGGCAACCAGCCTGGGTCTGCTATCTGCATTTCATCATTGATTTAAGAATATAGAGAAGTTCTAACAGAAAAATTAGTTGAACAACAACGGATCAAATGAAGAAGTTGAACCAGCGAAGATGAATTTAAAGAAAGTAAGACATTTTTAATAGAAGGATTGAAATGAAAAGAATCCAAGGTCATGAAACCTATCTTGATATTAAAGAAAAAGAAAAATTTTAAGTCTCACTTAATTTGCTTCTTCTTTTAATTATCAAATAAGAAAAGCAAAAGTAGAATTGGATATCCTTTACTCAAATTAACAAGGAGTTCAGCTTAAGAAGCTCAAAAAAGTATTTGAATTTCATGAAGTACACAAAAGCGTAAAGATTTTGTCTAAAATAGATAAATCAATAAGAGCAAGACATCGTGAGTAAACAAGAAGTCACCGGCAGATGAAATTAGTCTCTAATTTTTGTTTAAAAATAAAAAGTGAAAGAGTAAATCTCCAAAAAGATGAATTGGGTAGACAGAAACAAGACTAAAAGGTCTTGTTGTATTTATAAAAGTGGAGACTTCTGCTTAACAAAAGCTTATAAAACCCTGTTATAATTTTTTTATTAATGGCTTTAGAATCTTTCTTTAGAAAGAAAATGTAAGATTTCCCAAGTACAAAGCAAAGTACAACAATCATAACCACAAGAATGAAGGCTAATTAAAATAAAACCTATCAATTTGAGAAACAAACTCTACAAACCAATAAAACAAAAGCAAACTTACACGTAGACAATGGAGTTGAGATCCTGTAAATGTTACTGTTTTCACTATCCAAAACAAGAAGTTCTCCACTTGGTGACACCTCAACTGAGTATGGCTCGATCCCAAACTTACTTCCATCAAACAATGTCTCCACTGTATATCCACCCTCAAATTTCATTCTTGAACCGCTAGAAATAGCTGAAAAATTAATCCCTTTAACCTTAATAATGCAAAAAACAAAACCTTTGGAGAACTTAAAAAAGACGTACAACTTAAAGAATGTGGGTTCTATGAAAGATCTCTACCTCTGCCAGTTTTTATAGGAGCTTTTAGTGACCACAACCATTTCACAAGAGCAGAGACCGCATTGGTGACAACCCCACTTACAATTCCTGCAAATATACTCAAACATTAAGTAAACAAATTTTACAAGTTGAATTTTTTTTTTTTTTTTTTTTTTTTTTTTTTTTTTTTAAAAAATGTGAAAAATATAGGGGAGTGTTTAAGCTAGTACTTACTTGCAGGTGTTGTGGAAGCCGAAACTGAAGAGAACCCACCAAAGAGAAACACTAAAATGAAAACAAAAGCAACGAAACTTCTCACCATTGTTGAGCTGGGGTTAATTTGTTGAACATGAGAGAAGAAGAAATGCTGAAATGGGAAGGTTTTAAGCTCAGCATTTTATATATACTAGTTAAGGAGGAGACCCCACAAATTGTATGCTACTTTACTTTTTCTTCTTTTTACATGTTAATCAGTAGAACTTAAACCTTTTTGTGAGAAAGAGAGAGAGAGAGTGAAAGAGACAAAGACAAGAGTACTAAGTGTAGCGATTTGGCTTAACAGTAGAAAAGATCAGTTCAACATCAACAAAACAAAGTAAAAGAGAGAGAATGTGTGTGTTCACTGTCAGAGAGAATCATATGCTTTTTCTCTACCATTTTCCTTTAAATTTATTAATTGTTACAAAATTTATATATAACAACAGATGTGTCTATTCAATTTGAAAAAACAATTCAAATCATCCATCATGGAAGTTCAATTTTAATAGTCGGAGGTTGTGTTGTGGGAAGAGATTAAGAAAGTGTAGTTACAGTCACAGAGTCCAAGATGGGTGGCTCCATTGATCTCCTTTGTTAACTCTTTAATCTTTAACTTATTCTACACTCAAATCTTTAATTTGCTTTAATATTATGTTGTATTAGATGTTGCTTTACCATGTGGACTTTTGAAAGAGGATTATTAATCCTTGCTCTTTTGATTAGAATTACTCATGGCTTTAAAAATGTTCAGAAATTATCAAATTGCATCTTTAATTTATATTAATAATGGTTAATCTGCAATTATTAGAAATCCTCCATTCTCCCTGTGAAAGGGGATTATTATTACATGAGTAATGACAATAGAAATTTATAATTATAACTCTTAAAATTAATAAAATAAAATAATAAATAATATGCCAATCATTGATTAATTTTAACATCACTTAAAATAAAAAAAGAATAAAAAAAAAAAAGATAAAAGAGTTTAGTTGTTTGTATATCTTTTAGGCTTATGGTACTATCTAAATTTACTGACAAATTAATAAAGAAAAATTAAATATTCTAGTACATAAAAAATGGCAAAGGTGACATTGAGGCATGTGCCATATGCATTACCTTCAAAGTTTAACCATGGAAAATAAGATAAGTTTTTGCAGGTACTGATTGTTGCAGAAGAGAATAGCTTCTCCATTAATTCTTCTTAAGATATTGTGCCTTCAGGAATTGCATCTTGTGGGAAAAAAAACTTGAACTGGTAGATTGTTTGGTAATACAGAACGTGTACAATAAAACGAATACAGACTTACATAGGCGTAATGAATAATTCAACATGATATTTTATGATTGATTAGATATAAACATGACAATGTGTAAGGAAACAAGATTCAAAACTTCTTTTCTCTTATAAGAATTAATTAGAAACTTTATATAACATTTGTCAAATATGAGCATGACTCAAAATATAAAGTGGAAACCTACTAAAATGGCAAATTACAAACTCATGTATAAGCTGGGGATCAACAATAATACTGGTTTACCTAGGTATGACACTGAATAGGCATTTTATAAGAAAGCTGTGATCTTTCATAAACAATATGATTGTAAGAAAGAAAATAATTGAATACACAACTATACTCTATACTCAAAATTAAACATGGTAAATCATCCCAACCTCGAGAGTCGATGCACGAGGAATTCCCAGAGCATATGTTGGTCCCCTGGAGTTTCTTCTCAAGAAATCATACCCCAAATTTATCACAAGTTTCTTCATCAGACTTGATCCTGACTTTGCTCTAACGTAGCAGTGTCCAAGTATGAATGCCATTCCCGCCTCCCTCGCATCCATCAGTTCCTGCAACTCCTCTTGTGCATCTAGATCAATTCGTGGACTCTCTGGCACAAGAAACCTAACTCTTTTTCTTGCTTTCTCGGAGTGCTTTAGTTCCCTCATCTCTGAAGAGCCTACAATTTCAGAAACATCTTGATCATCTTCACACATTTTTACGCCATCTAAATTTGAGGAAGTAGTCCCAACAACAGTCATTTTTTCATCATTTTCCAGATATTCAATTCCTAGATTGATTTCCGGCCTCTCTGACCGAATAAATTCTGCAATGCTACAAATAAGGTCCTTCTCAAACTCCAAGTCATCTTTGTGGATATCACGGTACCCATAACGTGCTATGCATCTATACAGCCGGTACTCCTTTGGACCAACTCTTCCCACTAAGAACCTTTCCTTGGGTCTGACATGTGGCACTGGAACTGATTTGATACAGAGAAAGACGACAACCTGGTGGAAAGCTGGAAGGTTGGTGACAAAGTGAGAGAAAATAGCTGGGATTCCAGAAACTAGCTCGGTGTGTATGAGACCAATTCCCCGAACCCTAACAATTCCGAGATTAGGACCTAAACTCAGAAGCCAGTTGATGGACACCTTATTTTGCACATCAAATTCATATTTCATGAGTGTGCCATAGTGCCAAACATACATTACAATTAAGAAGATCAATGAGAGGGCAATGGGAACCCAAGCCCCTTCAAGGAACTTGATGAGAGAAGCTGAGAAGTACAGTGCTTCGATGGAACCAAAGAAGAATATAAAACAGACGGCCATGAAGATGCTTTTGTGCCAGCATAGAACAATAACTAGAGACATTAGGCAGGTGGTTACTAGCATGACAGTTATAACAGCTAAACCTGTTAAGAGAACAAGAAAAATTGCAGTAAGAATCAAGTTGGTTCCTACTTCAGAAAACATTAAGATCATTGATAATCTCTGTACGCATTATGTTTTAGTTTAAACAATCAGTTAAAATCCTTCATTAACAATGGTGAAAGAGCTGAAACTAAACATCTTGAAATTGTGCAGTCTTTATATGTTCCGAAGACATCCCCATATAAAAGCTTGAATGTAGATGACGAGTGCACATAGATTGGACTAGAATAAGTGTTTGTATGTGTAGGTGCTAGCAGACAAGGTTTGACAATGACAGTACCTGATGCATTTCCCAAATGCTTTGTGTCTCTAAAACCAACAGTAACAGCCAAGCATATAAACATTAAAGTCCAGTTTATCTCCGGAATGTAAATCTGGCCATGTATTTTGGAAGATGTGTGGATAATTTTGACCTTGGGGAAACAACCCAAAGAAGAGCATTGTTTGATTATTGAGAAAGTTCCGGTGATGATGGCTTGACTTCCCACAACTGCTGCAAGAATGGCTATAGCCAGAACAGGCCATCTTATTTTCTCTGAAACAAGAAGAATAATTTTGCTTTGGTTTAGTGTCAAATCACGAAATTTAAATTGATTATTCTTATCTATGAAGAACAGCAACTACCACCTACCGGGTACAGATACATAGAATCCAATCCGGTAATTGCTTTCAATAGTATGATGCTTAGAAAGATAAGCTGCTTGGCCCATATATGCTAAGATTAAAGATGGATAAACCACAAAGGTGAAAGCAATCTGCAAGAAAAAGGATTTTATAGTTAGTGGAATTGCTTAAAATTTTCATGGCATCCTAAGCAGAATAGTTCTCTATTCGGTTTATCATTAACAGTGAGAAGATTAACACACGGCTGTTTTACTTGAGCATGATGCATAGAAGTCAACTTATGGTACTGGTAAATACGTATGAAGGATCAGTTATAGTACTAAACCTAATGTACTATCTTTTATATCAGTATCAATAATTCTACTTTCGCAATGATGATTAGGCTATGTTAATTTATCAAAACCGACAATTCAATTGTGATCTTAATTCTGTACCTCACTTGGTTTAACAATATGCTTATGCATCTAATTTCAGTATTTTTTTCATTACATATCGGACTAGTATAACTTTGTTCTGAAATTCACAAAGATGATTATGCATTCAACTTAATTGAGCATATTTAGGATGAACAAAGAATCTAGACTAATCAACCACCTTAATTGACAACTGTGTGAAGTGCCCAAGATCCGCAAACATAGCTTCTGAACCTGAAATGTAGAAAAATGATTTATTTAAGAGTAGATATAAAAGGCCTAGTACATCAATGGTGAACAGACAATTCACTGTTAATGCTCTTCTACCTGTTATACACAGCAGAATCCCGCCCAAGGACATCCAGCCTCCCTTTTGGGTCTTCTTCAAAAATTTGTACATATAATATGGGGAGAGTGCTTGGTAAACATGGGGATTCCAGTGGAAAATGTTATAGACACCAATTGCGCTGATGCATAGAAGCCATGTAAGCACGACAGGGGCAAATAAAAATCCCACTCGATGGGTCCCATAATGTTGGAGGGCAAACAAAAACACCAGTATTGCACAAGCAACAGGTACTTCAACATCTGCAGTATCAATGAACTCTTAAGGACATAGAATACTAAGTGCACAATTAATAATATGAGTTCAAGATCGCATTCCTTGTAGAGTGTTTGATTCTCTAAAAACTAATAAAATTCTAAGATTTTCATCAAGGAATAGAAACTGGCGAGTGTATGACTTCTTCAAGGCATAGCAGATCTTCACACACACAGACAAACAAACACAAACACAAACACAAACACATATACATATATATTCGCCATGGATATAAACCTGTCAGGTGAACACGTAAATGGCTTGTTTTTTAAGTGATTTTTCTTTTAACAAAAACCATATGTGATCATTTATCAGGTTATAGTAGTTGGTTGAATCTTGGGAGTTAATTTTCCCAAAAAAAAACCATTCATATTCAGCTAGCATCCACTTTCCAGACAGAAACAAAGATAAAACTGTGACAGTGCCAGGAAACTGTGCTCCAACAAATCCTGATTCATATATTGCAGGTAGACTCTATATGAACAACCGATTTCAAGGGATGGAATGAATTTGGCAATAACTTGATGGTACTTATGTACCTCTGCACAAACCAACTTTGTTGAACAACTTTACTTGTTTTAATGTAATAATTATTTGATCAAATGTATTTTAAGCTTATTTCCTCATACCAAGATATTTTAGGCTTAAAGGTAAAATTTTGTATGAAGATGAACCTCTTAGAGCACAATAAATTCTGTTTTGTAAGCTCTTTCAAGTGTATCAGGATCGAGGAATGGCCTATTGAGAAGCAGATATGTTAGTAGGCATATTAGAAGGTAAACATAAATTTTCCTCACTTAAGTTAAAAGTGAGTCAAAACATAGGCTAAAGGGCACACAAAATAGCATCTGAATATTAGAGTGTTGTTTGTTTGCTTTAAACAGAGATCATTTGATTATCTCTCAAAGTCCTAACTGAT